TAACTTTCTAATGTCACCTTCATTCCTGTTCAGTCTGTAATACAAACCACAAATAATAAGATTTTATTATATACTTCAATTTAGATTCACTCAAATGAACAGTTAAGTAACATTCAATTACAATTAGTTTCAATAATAATAATAAACGTGAAACTATAAAACTCAATTCACGTTATAAAATCATCTCACAGAATGGTAGTTCATTCAATGAAGTAGATCTTCACTTCACAATATGATAATAACACAAACAAAACACAACAGATAGATATACCATACATTCAATTCAATCTTCACCCTGTTCAATTGATTCATTAAAGTAACCCATATTATCTCCATTATTATTATTACTATCCTATTTCTATAACATGTCTCATCTACTGAATTGAATCTCACATTGAAACAGACATTATTTATTCAGCATAATAAATTAATCATAACATTCTTGCATTGAATTATATATCCATATACAACAAAGTGAGTTTGAATTTATTACTATTCAATTACGTGTTCATATCAAGTGTTTAACAGAAATTGACTTCATTGAATACATTTCTATTTGAATAGAATATAAATAAAATAAGTGAACCATGTTTTATTAAAGAAAAAGTTTCTTTGAACAAAGAAATGTGGTTTCTGTGTTTTTTGCAATGTAAAAACGATTAGATTTTGTGTTAATAACAACACTCTATTTATTTATTTAAACACATAAACATTGGTACAAGGAAGCACCAAACAGATATGAGCTAGGATACTGCCTGGGTGCCCAAACCGAAATAGTTGGCTTTCTTAGGGGGCCACACCCTGAGCCTTCGACCTCAAGGTCTAATCCACAAGATATGAAACAACATAAAATGGTGCAGTGCATTGGTTGCAGTTGACCAACAGTAGACTCATATGCCATTGACTACTTTAGGATCATGGAGCCCATGTACGCCATTGGTTTGGAATCAGGGTTTTCTAACTCCCCTGGGTTGATCCTCCGTATGTACCAACCGGGTTAAAGCACCGGACATTCACTTTTCGCCCTCTTAATTTCATAAACAACAACCGCGTCATGAGAATGACATTGAGTAGGATTTTTCTGGTTGTATGCACGTGGCCATTTGAGAACATTTCGAGAGGGAGAGCTGATTCTGCACACTCTCGGCCTTACCATAGCACATAATGAATGCGTGTTTTGGATCCAATTGATTGTCATAACCCAACAAAATTTCATTAAAATACAGTAATAATACATTTACTTATATATAACGTATATAAATAGTAACTAACAATTTACGATCTTCAATAATGACAATATCATAATATTAAATGTCAAGAAACTATTGCCTAACTTCACTATTCATAAAGAATTTCTTTATTCAAGGAAACTATTTGACCGAACTTCTCAAAAAAAAGAAAAACATGATTCGATTTACTTTTTTTTATGCTGCTCAATAGAAATATACCCAATTGAGTAAATTTCTGTTAAACACTTGATGTGAACACGCAACTGAATAGAATTGAATATATAGAATACTTGAAAGATTCTGTTTTCAATTTCATTTTAGTGTTTATTATTATTCTTCTTCTACAAAGTCAAGATTGAATTGAATGTATAGTCTATTTGTCTCTTTTGTTTTGTTTTTTCGATGATGTAAAGTAAGGATCTAATGAATGAATGAATTACCGTTTTTTATTTTCTCAGTATCTGTTCGTTGATTTCGTGATATTAGTTTTATTGTAACCACTTATACTTATCCATGCACTTTAATGGATTGATAGATGTTTCTGTCTAATGTAGACATGAATTTGAAGAAACTACTTACTCAAAGATTAATGAAACATATCGAAAATACCATAATGTGTGCTACTGATATTGACAGATATAAGTAGTATGTATGATCAGTCGAAAGTGAAATGTCTAGCGGCAGAAGGTTAAGAAGTTCGAAGAAAACAGAACGAGAACAGAAAATGATTGATAAGGAAACAAAGGAACAATGAAATCTGAGACGATTGATTGATATTTAGCAAACGAAGTATTTACTGTATAGTTCTCAGATTTTAGTAAGATGTTCTGTAATTTTGTATTCTAATAAATATGATTGTTACCACTTATGTTCTCGTTCACTTCATTGGTACCATCACAGAACGTTATGACATACTTGTTTATAATTCTCTAAAGATGAAAATGTATAAAAAATGTGTCAGATTGATGTATGGGCAAGGAAGATAATGCTTGATTGTTTGCTCACTCAGATTTGTAGATAATGCAACAGGTTTTAGATTAATTATATATTCTCCTACGATTATAATAATAATAATAATAATTATTATTATTACTATTATTATTATTAGGAATGTTGTCTGCTTTTGATGTGGAAATATACTTATTTTCAAATCAAGCTAGTCACGTGTTTTTTATATTATTTGTGTTGAAGTCCTGTAGAATGGACACTGGAAGGGTATCTAGGTATCTAGGGTATCTAAGATGAATGAACGCCCCATTCTTGTTTATATACGTAAAATATGAGTAAATGGATTAATACCGTGTTTTCATTAAATATTAGAAGAGTTTTTGTAGATATTATAGTAATTTCAATGGCTACGATCATGAGTCAAATGAAGCTAGACCATCATACAAAATCTAGAAGCACTAAATGGCGCTTGCCTTCTTATTGTGGGACTCCTCAACAGTTGTGGGTTCTAATCTCTTTTTTGGCAAGATCGTGCATGTGCAATGCTGAGAAGTCTTACAAGAGGAAGAAACGGACATCCAGCGCTTCCAGGTTTTCATTCAACATTTTAAAGATATGTTGTTGGATTATGACTATCAATTGGATCCAGAACACGCATTCAATGTTGTTGCTATAAAAAAATCTTATCGTTTTTATATTGAAAACATAAAAAAACATATTTCTTTATTCAAAGATACTTTTCCTTGGACAAAACATGATTTACATGATTTACTTATTCTATTTATATTCTATTCAAATAGAAATGTATTCAATGAAGTCAATTTCTGTTAAACACTTGATATGAACACGCAATTGAATAGTAATGAATTCAATCTCACTTTGTTGTATATGGATATATAATTCAATGCAAGAATGTTATGATTAATTTATTATGCTGAATCAATGATGTCTGTTTCAATGTGAGATTCAATTCAGTAGATGAGACATGTTATAGAAATAAAATAATCATAATGATAATAATGGAGATAATATGGGATACTTTAATGAATCAATTGAACAGAGTGGAGATTGAATTGAATGTTTAGTATATCTATCTGTTGTGTTTTGTTTGTGTTATTGTCATAATGTGAAGTGAAGATCTACTTCATTGAATGATCTACCATTTTGTGAGATGATTTTATAACGTGGATTGAGTTTAATAGTTTCACGTTTATTATTATTATTGAAACTGATTGTAATTGAATGTTACTTAACTATTTATTTGGATTAATCTAGATTGAAGTATATAATACAATCTTATTATTTGTCGTTTGTATATCATGCTGAACAGGTACGAACAACTGTTGGATCATAGGTGAGATTTGAAAGTCATTCAACTGTTTTAAATGTATGATGCGAACGGTAGTGGGTTCGAGTCCCTTGGTGAAAATTTATCTCTTGGATGGATTTACTGGAATGCGCCACGAGAAACTGAGCTGCAAGAATGGATCTCCATGGAACGCCAGGACAAGATTCAAAACATGAAGACCGCAATTATTAACAACCAAACAAGAACAGAGAAAATCAATGCACAACCTGAATTCATAAAAGCAAATAAGCAAGTGAAGACGAGCATAAGGGCAGACAAGCAAAGATACATGGAAGACCTATCAACGACAGCGAACAATCTGTAAGAGGAGATATGAGACAACCATTTGGCACAACGAAAAATGTGCCATGAAAATATAGTAAACCATAGAGAACGATCAAGGACAAACAATGAAAGACAATCACTAGAATTCAAAGACAGAGGAACAGATAGTTGGAACACTTCGTGGAACTCTTAAATAGACCAATTCCACTGAATCCATCGGACATCGAACCAGCACACACACACATTTTACAGATGCCAATCCATCAACGATAAAACAAATCAGGGTGGTCGGTCATCAGACAAATCAAGAGTGGGTAAGCAGTAGGACCTCATAATATACACACTGAAACAATGAAGTCAGACACAGCAGTAACTACAAAGATACTCAACATTCTATTCATGAAGAAGATTTAGGTTGAAGAACAAGAGCTGACGGACTGAAAAAAGGATACCTAATCAAGATACCAAAGAAAGGAGATCTGAGTATATGTGAGAACTACACAAGCATCACATCACTGTCGGTAATAGGAAACGTTTTCAACAGAGTGTTTCTGTACTGGATGAAAGACGTAGTAGACGCCCAACTTCGAAATCAACAGGTCGGATTTAGTAAGGATATGTCGTGAGCAGGCTAAATCGGATCATCACTGAACAATCTGTTGAATGGGACTCGTCACTATACATCCATTTCATTGACTATGTGAAGGCGTTTGACAGTATGGACAGAAGAACATTATGGAAACTTCTTTGACACTATGTAGTTCCTGAGAAGATTGTCAACCTCATCCGGAACTCATACGACGGAATACAGCGCAAAGTCGTACAGAGAGGACAGCTGTCAGATGCATTCCAATTGAGGACCGGAGTCAGAGAATCCTGTCGACTCTTTCCCCTCCTCTTTCTTCTAGTGGTTGGCTAGATTATGAAGACCTCCACATCTGACAGGAAGTACGGAATAAAATGGACAGGTTAAGTGAAACTAGACGATTTGAACTTTACAGATGATCAAGCTCTTCTTTCTCATACACATGAACAATTGCAGATAAAAACAACTAGTTTATCAGCAGTCTTTGCAACAGTAAACCTCAACACACGCAAACGAAAAAAGGAAGACCCTCAAATTAAACACGAAAAACATCAACCTAATCTCACTTGATGTAGAAACACTGGAATAGATGAAAACATATATTGGAACGAGTTCCATTCTAAACAAATTCCTTTCATATATTCTATTATTATTTACATCAAAATAAAATAAATACACAATGGAATATATAATCATCTTTTTTGTTTTACTGAATGAAAAATAATTTTATTGATCTAACGCAATTTTTTAAAAACAAAATGGGCGGGAAAAAAATAAAAACATGAAAGAAATTACATTCAAAAAGTAAACAAAAAAGAAAAGGAAAAGGAGGAGAAATTAAAACGTAATGATGTATTGAATAAGAAATTACATAATACATGTAGATTGTTGTAATATATGATGTAATTTACATGGAATTATCAAATAACATAATAAAATATAATGATAATGATTATGATTACATCATCATGAGAAAAGAAATGTGATCAATCGGACCGATTATTGTATATGACCAGTTTGATGGGGGTCTTTATGTTGCTGTTTTTAAGTCATGGATACTGGGTTGACACATTACAGGAGTTATTACTCTCTTCTCGCCGTCTCTCTCCCCCTCTCTCGCTTTGTCTATTTAGTTAATAGATTTATCTAAGGAAAAACAAAAACAAAAGAGAAAAACAATTAACGAATTTTAAAAGATGGAAGGATATTTTCTTTCTTTCTAAAAAAATTATAATACTGAAGTTATTTACAAAATTTGGTTCAGTATTGAAAGAGTTCTGATGGTTTGTTGTTAAGGGAGAATGATTTTTTTGTTGTCAAATTGCTAACTTTAAATTGGATAGTTTAATTGTGAATGTTTTATTATTTTGTTAGGTAGAAATCATTCGTAATAATAGCTTCAAAACGAAACCTAGTTACCAATAATAATTGTTTTTCTAGCTAGCATTTCTTTAGCGATTTAGTTTTTTATGGGAGCCCCACTGAACACAACCAACATCGAATTAGCATCCACGACCACTCAATAGATGTTAGTCCATCAACAATTGAAGGGATGCAGGAGAACACAACCAGTGTAGCAGCAGACTCAATAGCAGTAGATCTCAATATAAACAAAGGGAAAAGTAACATTCTCCGATACAATACAACATCCAACAATCCAATCACACTTAAAGAAGATTTTGAAGACATAAAAACCTTTACATATTTGGGCAGCATCATTGATGAACACGGTTTATTTGATGCAGATGGGAATGCGCGGATCGGCAATGGAAGAACAGCATATTTACAAATGAATAACATTTGGAACTCAAAACAACTGTCAACTGCCAATACCTCAGTCAGACTTTTCACTACAAATGTCAAGACAGTATGAGACTCCTCAACAGTGCTCATCCACGGTCCCACACGCGGGAACTGAAGCCAGGACCTTCGGTTCCACGCGTGAACGCTTAACGTTTAGACTATTGAGCAAAATTATGGTACACCTCACGATTTCGCACGTCATTTTTATTCAGAAGCTATGCTAATCTTCTTTGTATCGTTCCAATTCTAGTATATGTACTATCGAAGTGAATAAACTGGTATTCTTGTGTATATTTGTGCTCGACTGAATATCTTTTCACTTACTGAACTCTGTTTTAGTATATTATTTTATTATTCATACTGGTATGCCTATGATGCATGTCAGAATATCTCTTTTGACTTTATTGTAATCTACATCCACCTGCGTACTTTCAACTTACAACTTAAACATAAATCAATATACAGAATTTTCAATTATCGGATACCTCCTTACACTGTTACTGGGATAATTCTTTTGGGTAGTTAATCCTATAAATTTAATCGAATAGAGTGAATCATTCAATTGACCATATGGATGCATTTGTGTTTTTGTAAAGCCAATTTAGATTTGCTACAGTAGCTCATCTATAGAAGATAGATTTAGATAACTTGAGGTACCCAACATGCAATCGTCAGTAAAAATTATATACACCATCCCCCCTCCCGTTTAATGATAGGTAAAATCTAAGATCTTGCAGGTTACCTATCTATCACCAAGAAAAGTTTCTAGATGTACATATAGACCTTGCGATTTTATAAATCGTAATAATTTTTTTTATTCTACAACGATACTATCTATTACTTGATATTTTAATGTGGTCTTCAACAGTATGATACCCATTATAAGCTACTAGAACAATCCATGATGTGAATTCTTAATATACATCATACTACTTAAATTATCATTATTCTAATTCTTCCAATTAAACACAAGTTACTTAATATACTACATGTCAAATTTGTTATGTCACAAGAAAATATTTATACCTAACTATACAACTAACTATCTAACAAATAGTTTATAATCAGTATGAGGGTTGTGGAGATTGTTAAGATTTTGGTTGAGATCATGAATCAATTGATGTTAGACCACCGTTGGAAATCTGGAAGCACTGGACGGCCGTTTCGTCCTAGTATGGGACTCCACAGCAGTGCGCATCCACGATCCCGCGAGCGGGATTCGAACCCAGGACCTACTGGCTTCGCGCCTGAGCTAATCCGTGTCGGGTAGAGACAGGTATCTACCTCAGTACAATGGAAGTTGGTCGCGCAATTTCGTGGATTGGTTGATGTTAGACACTAACACCATTGGATGCCGGCTCAGTGGTCTAATGTTTAAGTGCTCAGGCGCGAAGCCAGTAGGTCCTGGGTTCGAATCCCGCTCGCGGGATCGTGGATGCGCACTGCTGAGGAGTCCCATACTAGGACGAAACGGCCGTCCAGTGCTTCCAGGTTTCCAACGGTGGTCTAACATCAATTGATTCATGATCTCAACCAAAATAGTTTATAACTGAATTCAAATAATAATAACCAATAATATTGTGTTTATTAATACCTGAGGCAAATCTCATTTAAAACTGGTAAACAATATTGTTTGTGTTCTTTGAATCAATAACAAAATCATTCAGCTTGATTGCCTCTTCTATGTTTTCAAACAGTGGTCTATAATGTTTATATCGATAAGCATCTCTAGTAAAAGTAGTGGTAGTAGTAGTAGTATCTCTAATAAGAGTAGTAGTAGTAGTAGTAGTAGTAATAGTAATGGAGTACCAGTTAATTAATATAATTAAATCAAGATTTTGTTTTTTGCTTCAATTAGTTACAATTATAGGACTTTGTTTGATCAGATTATTGAAATATATACACTTCCCAATAGATCAGTAGTTCCCTTATGTTCATATATATAGGTGTATTTCATTAGAAGTTGAATTTTGACTAACACTAGCTGATTAAACTCAAGTATTAGCGGACAATTTATTCAGGGAACGAATCAATAAAATGTTTATGAAGTTTTTGTTTTAAAAAAAGTTTAAAAAAAAGACAAGAATCAAACAGTTGTATCCACCATAGAAACAGATATAAAATTTGCATGGTTCAAGTTGTTATACCAATTCAAAACGGTAAAATGAATTTATCAAATCAAATCTTAGATCAGCTGAAGGAGTAAATGTATCAGTGTTATAAGAAAAATATTTTGCATAAATAAGATGACTTGATATGAAAGAATAAAACTTGATTATATAAAGATTATAAAGATTATGATGGATAGTGGCTAGCAGTGGAATCAAGGACGCGCGTTTTGTCCTATTTGGGACTTGTCAGATGGATGTACCTGCATCTCAGAGTTGATGTTCATTCAGGGACTCGAACCCAGTACCATTCGCTTCAAACGCCATAGCGTTATCCACTCAGCAACTGAGTCTTGATAAGCACTTGCTTGTGCAATGGGGTGAATTTAAATTCACTTGGTATTGTTTGGCTTGTTTGGCTTGAATTAAGGCAATATCAAGGCATACGCACAGTATACACATATTCCAATAACAGACTGATCAATTGCAGTCTTAAACCTCAATGGGAAGATACAAGCCAAATAATACCAAGTGAATTATGAAGGTTATTTTAAAACTCAGGATTTAGAGTAACACAAATAGTGGCTTATGTCTAAGCCACTATGATAGATTATGAATAGTGTCACAGTGTATCTAACTTATCAAGTAGTCTGCCTCTTCCTACAAAGCAGAGCTCAACAGTTAATGTCCTTACTCACTGATGTGATTTTAATCGGCCACTTCCAGATTTCTTTTAGCCTACTTGTAAACCAACCATCATAGACTGTCTACATTGACCGCGGTTTGAATTACGTAATCCATATCCTAGTCACTTTAATCGATAAACATACTTTCACGTCAACTGAATCGTCGTCTTTCATTGATACCCTCAAAAATTCTTCGAAAGCATAGGATTATCAAATGCTAATCACATACTAATATCGTCTATTCTTAAAGGCCACATTTTACATCCTTAAAGTTGAATGAAGCCAAATTCCGTAAAATATAATCGTCTTCTGGTTGTCAGACATGAAAGTGGATACCATTTAGTGAACAATCAAACAATCGACGTGAATAGTCGATTAGTCATCATTCCAATCATGAAGTAGGTGATGTGGATTCAAATCAGCTGGGTTCCTAATCAGTCAAAAAAACACCTCTTGCATATATGACTTCAACTACTACAACTTGATGAAAGAAAAACAAACGTAAAATAACGTTTTCTGTCAGTCATAAGTAACGATATTCAATGAAATCATATTTTTTCATTTGTACTAAGACATGAATGTAATGGGTTTGTTTAACAAATTAGTTATTAGATTATGAAATGCCATTCGAAGTGATTTGTATCACATAGGAATTGGACTGTAAATAATAACATTAAACTAAATATCAGTTATTGTCTGAAAAGCTTATTCTTAACGTTTCAGACTATGTAGCTAAGCGATGTATTGTTGAATCCAAAGTATGAAACACCGTACATTTCACTTCAAATGTCAATATGTTATCCACTAAGCAATTAAATGGTGTCATCTAAATGATCTTGCTCAGGATATAGATATGCTTACATAGTATAATAATTGATTTTAGTTCTTAAGCTCATTAACCGGAAAGATAGACTTCAGCTTGAAGTTTGTGCTGATGATGTCGTTCAGAAGAACGACGAAAGCCCTAAGACCAAACCATTCATCTCAGAGAACAAAACTTCATAAAAAAAAATATGATTGACCACGTGTCATTTGAATTTTGAATTTGTCTATAAATTGGAAGTTTCATAAAATTTCAATATCATTGCTGATTGTATATAACTCATTAAAACCTGAAGTAATATTACTTACCACAGAATCACCAATCGCTATCAAACTTGATCGTCTTGATATACGAGGTTCAACATTTAGTTCATTGCCCAATTTCTATATCAAGAATATAAAAAAAAAAAGAGAAGAATGACTTTAATACATGAGAAATAATCATTTATACAATGTTACAGTAATCAGATAGATATTATACCTGTCACCAACAGTTCATCATTTCACTTTTACTGAACCGTAAAAAAGTCACAATAAGAATTTTACAAATCTACTGTAAACTTATTTATATACTAGTGAGCAGACAACTATATGCTGGTTGAAATGTTCGCCATTATCGACAGTAGTCTTTAATATATGTCAATAGGCGATGAAAAGCAATTACAATATTAATTTCGTGAATTGGTTGAAATTAGACATTAACACTGTGGATGCCGACCGACTAATTGGTATAGAGGTTCTGGTTTCAAATCACGCATGTAGGATCGTGGGTGCGCACTGCCGAGGAGCTCCGTACTAAGACGAAACGGTCGTCTGGTGCTTTCAGGCCTTGAATAGTTGTTTAACATTGATCAAATTAATGATCTCAATGAAAAACGTAATAGTCTCCACAACCCTATATTGATAATTTCTCGAATGTATATATTTCATAAGAGGCTGTGAAATAAAAAAGCTTCATGACATCTTGGAAATATTGCTTTAAAGTGTATACTATGGATACATCTATGAAATAACTCACATTATTAGAAGTGATTTGTTTCACAGGTTCATTGATCTGTGATGAATTCCAATTCAATTTTGTTTGTATATTTGATGTACGAATAAATGGTCCTTCACATACTTGAGCAGTAAGTAAATTTTTCTCGTCAGAATTTAACAAACCACGAGATTTTGGAATTGTATACCAATTTGTTCTATCAGTATCTTGTAATGATTGATCACTACTTCGTCTAGATAAATTATCATTTATTTTATTTGTTTGTAAATGTGATGTAGTGTTTTGCTCTTGACGTTGTGCATCACAACTATGTCTACGTAGTTTAGATACACTTGGTAATTGTAAACCTAGAAATGATGTATAATTTTTTTTATCCAATAAATTTATATCACTTGTTGGTTTATCAAAGCGTAAGTCACTGTTCTGTGGGGGAAGCTAAAGAAGAAAAAAAAACAGACAAAACATACGGATCTTAATTGGGTATTAGTATTTGGAACAGTCAAGGTAGTTATAACTTAAGGAAACTAATAAAAATTGATTGAACAAAAGGTTTAGTTAACAATAGTTGATGACGTAAATACTGTAGACAACACAAACATTTATCACAATACCCAATAATTTAAAAAAATGGTTTAATGATAATCAGGGTAATTAAAAATAATCTGAAGAAGTGGCTTACATCGAGTCACGAAACGTTAGAAATACAATTTTTCCGCTTATTGAGATATGAAAATGATAAATTTATTATTAACCTTCTAATCAATGCTCAATTTATTTGAAACTATCAAGTCCAACCTTAGCATTGATATATATTATCAGGAGGGATTTCGGGGCCGCGACAAATCGTTTGTATACACATGAAGCGAGTTTAGATTTCGAAGTTTACAAAGCTTTCAAAAACCTGAGAAATACTTACTTACTTACTTACGATTGTCGACTCTCGTGAACCCTAAGCCACCAACCAGCGATATCCAACATGCGATGTCCTGAGCTCTCTTATACATGTGTTGACAAGTGTGCCATTCATTCTCTAAATGTATGTCTCCAGTTCTCTGACTAATGTATTCTTTGGTCTACCTCTTTTATTTTCACTTTGGTAATTTCAAGTTAGAGCTTGCCTCGTGATACATTTTGATGATTTTCACGACCTATGTCCCATACACCTCAAACGTAGTTTCCTTAACTGCTATTCATCTAGAAGCCGTTTCCACCACGGATACAGTGGGGTGTCGATGATCTGGAGTATCTTGAAAAAAACAAATGTTTATTGATACTCGGAACGTCTTGATAATGGTTTAATAGTTCTCCAAGTTTCAGCCCCCTGCAATAGAACTTTATGCACGTTTGTATTGAAAATTCTGACATTGATGTTGACAGATATTTGTTTTGAGTTTAAGGTGTTCCCTGATTTTAGGAATGTTGTCCGTAATTTATCAACCCGTCCTTCTACATCTGTATAAGATACCGCTTGTTTATCGGTAATACTGTCCAGGTACGAGCTTCTCCACGAAGAGTGGTCTAATTTGCACTCTCTATGTTGTATCTTATGACCTCACTTTACCTTAATGAATGATGAGGCTTACTGCATCAGAGGCTGTCACTAAATTTACTGTCTTCACTATATATATGCGCAGCATCATTGATGAACACGGTGGATCTGATGCGGACGTCAAGGCGTGGATCGGAAATGGAAGATCGGCATATTTACAAATGAAGAACATCTGGAAATCAAAACATCTGTCAACTGCCAATACCTAAGTCAAGACAGTTCTACTGTATGGAAAGGAAATTTGGAGAACTACGAAAGCCATCATCGAGAAGATACAAGTGTTCATTAACAGTTGTCTACGCAAAACACTTTGGATCCGTTGGCTAGACACCATCAGCAGCAACCCACTGTGTGAGAGGACAAACAAGATGCCAGAGGACGAAGAAATCAGGAAGAAGCGCTGGATGTGGATAGGACACACATTGAGGAAATCATTTAACTGTGTCACAAGCCAAGCCTTCACGTTGAATCCTGAAGGCCAAAGGAGATGAGGAAGACCAAAGAACACATTACGTCGGGAAACGGGGAATTGGATGGAACTAGAAAAAAGGCCCAGGACAGAGTGGATTGGAGAACACTGTTCGGCGGCTCATGATCCTTTGGGCGTGAAAGTCGTAAATAAGTAGTGAGTTCGTCCCTGACAGTTTCTATTAAACCTTTTGAAAGCGATTTTAAGGCCAGTTCTTCGAGAGTTTCAGCCTATCGCATATAGGTCTTAATCTAGATTAGACAAGTTATCCTCAGCACCAAAAGTGAGTAAACAGATAAAGAATGTAACATTTTGATTTTCTAAATCAACTGATGAATTCGATATTAACTAATTTCGAATGTATATACACAATTGTTACATAATCATTTGATTACGTTATTTAAATACTCCTTACTACCCATGTATTCCCACATAGACATATGAATTAATGAATTCATTACAATGTGTGTTATTGATCGTTTATACTTAAGTGGAAAAGTCAATTTAGTAGTATAGTATATTTCTAAATGGCTACTTTTAGTATCTGTCCTGAAAAAAAAAGTATTTTTTTTATATATTTCTCCTTTGAAATAGAATTTTAATATTAACTATTTCTTACATTAATATTTCGGTCATCAACTTCATATCTTTACTAAACCTATTTACAATATATATTCTCTTTAAAAAAAGAGACGAAGATCTTAATACGCTTTATTTGTACTTTAAAAGAAGTATTCATTGATGAACTGAGAGGAAGGGGAAAGGTAGTTACTTTTGTTGTTATTGATCGTGTTGCTGTTGTTGTTGTTGTTGTTGTCAACATTCGTTTATTTTAAAATGCAACAAATGGATTCTATCTATTTCATTCGTTTAACCTTAATCATTATTTCTATCGAAACAATTTCTATTGAAATAATTTCTTTACATGAACTGAATCAATTCATTGTTTAGTAATGTTAGTTTCATTTTTAAAGTGAAGATGATTAAGGTCAATCATGTTGAAAGACAGAAGGATAGAATCTATGAATGAATATTTAAAATAATCCATATTTATGAAGTATGATAAATATGATCTTAGTTTAATGGAAATAGTTTCCTTTATTGAAGTTAAAGATTACTTCAACTGATCAATGATCTGTGAATGAATTGATGCCATCTGAAATTGGATGGAAGATTCTAGATTCTATTGTATATTGACGACTGATATTATAATCAATTTTGATTTACATTTACTAGTATAGTATCAGTTGGATAAGCGTAACAATAAATCAATCAAACTATATGAAAATATCAATCGGTTCATGATCTCATCATAAACATAATAATCTCCACAACCCCTATACTAGTAATCAACATGTGCTCACTAGTGACTAGCTTCGTGAGGGAATTCTCGGAGCTCTAGTGAGAAGCCGTGACCAGTGGAGCTAATCCTTGTCGGGTAGAGATAGGTATCTACCTCAGTACAACGGAAGTTGGTCGTGCAATTTCGTGGATTGGTTGATGTTAGAAACTATCACCATTGGATGCCGGCTCAGTGGTCCAGTTGGTTAGGCGTTCGCGCGCGAGACCGAAGGCCCTGGGTTCGAATCCCGCGAGCGGGATCGTGGATGAGCGCTGCTGAGTCCCACGATAGGACTAAACGACCGTCCAGTGCTTCCAAGTTCCCAGTTGTGATGGTCTAACATCAGTCGGTTCATTATCTCAATAAAAAAAAATTGAATTCAACTGTATGGATTTTTATGACGTTAAAGTGTAATGAACAAGAACATCATTTAATGGAGCCCTTCATTTTGACTGCAATCAGATGTTATTGATGTTATTGACTGGCTCACCACTTTGATGACCAAGGATCTGACTCCAGTTAGATCGTATGTACGATTGTTATTGAAATGATTACTGTAGAAATATACATGTCACCAATCCTCGTATATAATTCTTGACTTAACTCGAGTTAGTTAATAACAGAATCAAATATGTCAAATAGGAGAATAGATTCGGATGATGTATATTTTGTACATAAGTTGATCATAAGATACAATCAGAGAATCGCAGTAAATGAAGCGAAGAGGAGAGAGCGAAGCGAAACGAAAGAACGCTCATTAGTCAAAGCGGGTGAGCCAACTTCATTTACTCAAGCGTTAACCGATATTTAGTCACACATATATGAGAAATACATACACAAACGCTCTTATGAAAACAATCTAGGTTGATAAGCGAATAATTAACAAGATCAAAACGTGACTCAAGAAGAATAGATAAATTGGCTTGTCCAAAAGCTAAAATAAGTTATATGAGCTTAACATAGTAACCGACACTACAACCAGTAGGGATGACTGATCATTACAGAATCCCTTAGTAAAATGTGAAAACTATATAATAAATAATTCATTTGCAAAATTAACATCAATTGTTTCAAACTTTGTTATTGCTTCGTTTCCATTCCGATCACTTTCTGTTCTCGTTCTCTTCGCTTCAATTTTCTCAATCTTCCTCCACGAGACATTTCATTTTTGATGGATGAGACATACTACTTATATCTGTTGACATCTGTAATACACATCATATAAATGCTCAACATTATCATACAAATTGTGCATATTTCATTTTTAAAAGTAATTTTAAAATTGTAATTTAACTTACTGGACAGATAACATGTGCACTTGCTCGTCTTGTAATATTTGGACTATTTTCTAATTCTTTAATTTGATTTGGATGTAACATTGGTACAAAAGAAGCAGCAGTTCGAGCAATAATTTTTGATGCTTAAAGATGTAAGAAAAAAATTAGTCATTTAATTATAATCAACATAAAGTCTATAACAAATGTAGGTTAGTTCACAAATCATCGGATTAGATTACCATAATAAGATAAAATTAACAGAACAAATAGCAAAAGAAACGAAACATTGTAGTGTCAGTGAGAGTTAAAAAAAGACAACTAAACAATGATATCACACACCGTGAAGACATAATGAAAAGGTATTTTCACAGGAATAATAGAAGATAAAACGTGAATGAAACTGTACCACTATAAATGACTCCAAGCTATGACATCTAACATATTCATCCACTGATTATGGTCATATTACCACTATTGTAGTGAACCAGAACACAAATGGGGACAACCTAATGGTGTATTTCAACACAAAATTATAAAACATCTTAATAAAATCTGAGAACCATACAGCGAATTCTTCTTTTTGCAAAATGCCAATCGATTGTATCAAACTTGACTGATTCTTCTTTTCCACACCAATCAATCACCGTTCTCGTTTGTCTTCTCATCGATCTTTTTTAACCTTGTATCGCTAGACAATACACTTTCGATTGATGATATATACTACTTATATCTATCGACATCAGTAGCACAAACTACAATATAATTCACTCTAAGCCATACCATTTATTACATTCAATCACTGTTTTTGGTCATATTACAAAATACTTTTACATTATACCTGCATTTTTTTAAAAGAAAAAAAGACGCTATTATGTCGAGATTTATTTGCCTACATATCGATTTTCGGTTGGCTTGATTAACTAACAAAGTTAATGATCATTTTAATAGTTGAGTTCATAAGTTAGTTGAAGCTAGATCACCATGGAAAACCTAAATGCCTTGGACAGCCGTTTCGTCCTATAGTGGGACTCCTCAGCAGTGCACATCAACGATCTCACCTCACGAGATTTGAACTCTGGATCTGTCGGTCTCGCGCGCGAACGCCTAACCTCTAGACTATTGTGCCGGTCAGCAACCGACAGTATTAATGTCTAACTTCAACTAATCCACGAAATTGAGCGAAACATCCACCATTGTCTTTAGTGAGCTAATATCTCATCACCCATTTCACCATTGAATTGGTGTTATTCTTGACCAGAAACAATGAACTAATGATATGTTGTTTACATTATATAAGAATTTAACACTATATGGAAACAAAATATTGCTTTAAGAGAGTTTAGTTGTTAGGACTTTATCAAAAGATTTAGACAATTTATGGTTCAGTTTAATTTCTAATTGAACACATTCAAATTCATACTAAAAAGGAAATGAGCTTTATAAATTTGTGTTTTAATTATAATGAATGTTGTCTAACAGTAGAGTCGAGTATATAGGCTTCTTTCTACTTAGAACTCATCCATCACTGATTACACCTGAATTCATGTATTGTTATTGACTATAACATTCAATGTTATTGTATTTTCACTAACATGCCTATCTGTTTTCTATTTAACTGTTGAATCAAAATAGCTTATGACTTGTGTATTAAGTATCAAGGTGTATTTTAAGTTATAAACAAAATATGTTAAAGCTTATACCTCAACGTTTAAGTGTAAGAAATTAATTCATGGTGGACATATGCGAGTATAGAGTGATTAGTTGCTTCAGATACAGATAACTGAATCCAGAACTAATTATTTGATTTGTCACCTTACTAAAGATGAATATTAGAGGTTAAAATATCCTGAAAGACATAACATTTATTATTTTTCATTCGACAGTTGTCGATATACTGTCAGTGTAAGAAAAAACTATATTTTACACTTGAAGATGTATTCGTTTTATATGATAAGATGTGGAAAACTTAAGTTTTAGATAGAAAAAAATGATGAAATGACGAAATCTGTGTCGGGTAGAAACAGGTGTCTACCTCAGTACAATGAAAGATGGTCGCGCGATTTCGTGGATTGGTTGAGGTAAGATACTAACACCGTTGGATGCCGGCTCAGCGATCTAATTGGTTAGGCTCCTGGCACAAGACTGATAGGTACTGGGTTCGTGTCTCGCGGGGTGCGGGGTTGTGGATGTGCACTGCTCAGGGGTCGCATACTAGGAAGAAAACAGCCGGCTAGTGCTTCCAGGTTTTTCATGGTCATCTAGCTTCAATTGTCTCATGATTTCAATCAATAAAACTTAACAATCTCCACAACCCCTAAAAGTGTGATAAATACAAAAAAGTTATATTATCGAATTCCGAAACTATAGTTATGATCTGAAGATAACCTTTTCATTGTATTATATGAATATTTTGTGTTCAAAATTATTGAATGAGATCTTAGTTGGAAATGAAAAACAGAGGTATACCTACTTAGTAGTCTGATGGCTAGGATCTCGTAATGGAGACTATAATCCCTGAAACAGATCGTCGTGGATTAGCACTTTATAAAAGTGAAAAACTAGAATGTAATAGATGTTTAATACACCCTTTTTAGTGGTTATCCACCTAAAGACATTCAGTGATGTAAAACATGAAACATTGTATGTATTAAATAAAGAAGTTTCGGAGTCCTAAAAAATTGTCAAAGTCTGCTAGGGTATAGTGAACGAATTATAAGGTGGAAAAGATCAGTTATTTTCTTCGCTCTTCTCTTCGTTTCAATCTTCTTAATCTTCTACTCGTAGACATTCCATTTCCAATTGATGCTATGTACCACTTATATCAGTCAACATAAATAGCATACACCATAAGGAGAATATAAACAAGCTGTACACTTTGTTTTATTTAATACAATGAACCGATCGATGTTAAACCGTCAAAAACCTGGAAGCACTAGACGGTTGTTTCGTCCTAATACAGGACCCCTCATCAGCGCGCACGCAGAATTCGAACCCTTAGTTACAGGTTATTTGTATTATTCACATGATTTCCTCTTATTTTAAAAAGAGTCATCAGATTCATGTCATGACTAACAGGGATGGATTTAAAATACTTAGAATCAGTTCCATATACCATAACGTTCAATAATTATTTTCTATATCCCATATATATCTATACACGCAAACTGATGTGAATTGAATACTGGTTAGATTATTCTTTGAAAGTTAAACGTTTTTATTAATGATTTGATGGAATTACTGATTGTTTGAGTTAATGACTACCATTATGAAATATCAGATAAATTATGACAATAACCTATACAACTTCAATCATTAATCACGTTGTTTGTTCATTGAATATTTCAATCATACAACGGTCTGTATGATTGTAATTCATTTTTACTAATTTATGGACGACATTTGAGGATCGCTTGAATGACCTTGAAAATGTCCATCTATTAACTAGGACGTGATGAGTATTATAAAGCAGTATGAGAAATTAGAATTATGATATACAGTTGACGGTTAAGGTTAGTAATTACATTTAGGATTTTCATCATGAACTGACATAAACTATGATGCCAAAATGGTATTTAGCTAAATGAATGAATGAATTTTTGCGCCAAAATCCGAGATCTATCATAAATTCGATTGGTTTTGCCTTATTCTGATTCTATCCTATTGTAGATCATTCAGTCGAAACTAAAACTATCATTAGTGAAAACATATTCAAATGACAAAGTTAACTATTTTTGTTTTCTATTTCATTTTACTGTGTCAACCTGACTTTGTTTTGATACAAATTAATAATCCAATTAATAAATTTTTGATATGTGAATAGTTTTGCCTTAGTTTGTTTCAAAACAGGAAGCAAAACTTCATTCATATAAGCAATAGTGTTATATCCCGATGAGACTAATAAATGGCAACTGTTGGAATCTATGTCTGGACTAATACTATACATTTATTTTTTATTGTATCATTGTTAAGTAACTAAAGTATTCATATTCGTATTCCTCTTATTATAAGCTTTATGTTGACCTATCAACTATTATTATACGATTTACCATTCATGAGTTATACCCAGTCTATTAATTACTATCTCTCGCATTCACAACTACTTTTGGTTAGATCTTGTTTATTTATTTATTTATTTGAACACATAAATATTGGTACAAGAGAGCGCCAATATATATGCGCCACACAAAACAATGAAAATTCGAATAGAGATAAAAAAAAAACTAAGGACCACAAAGGTAGTGTGGTCGTAACGATGGAACAGACAGGTTCAATCAGAAGAAATCTTTCAAGTAAGGGAGATACAACCACTTTTTATGAAGAAAGTAAAAGAAGGTTACAGCAGGATCGCCACTGGCTTCTATTCTGAGCCATATCTGATAACGTCTCTAGCCACTGTGTAGCACCATCTCTCAGACCCCAACCAGGGAGTCGTGAAGGACCGACAGAAGCCAGTCCTTTGCAGCTTTCTTTCATACCACGACACCATGTCATGCACTGACCACCTCTCCGCTTTTTCCAACCAGTCCCAGAGTCGGCAAATAATGCACGACGTGGAATTCTCTGGGACGACATTCGTAGAACATGTCCAAGCTACCGAAGTCGGTGTTTCAAGATGGTGACACCTATTGAATTATCATCTCTGTGCCCAAACACACGATGCCGAACCTCTGCATTACTGACATGGTGTTGCCACTGGATGTCAGCAATCCTTCGGAGACAGCGATGATCGAACACAGAAAGTCGTCTAACGTCCTCAACTCGGAGAGGCCAGGTTTCACAAGCATAGAGCAAAACTGCTCTCACCGACGCGTTGTAGATCCGACCTTTTACAGCCAGACTAACATCACGAAGGCGCCAAAGATGGCCCAGATTGGCATAAGCCACTCTGGCTTTCACTATACGTGCATTGATCTCATCACTCACACCCCACCAGCGCTTATGCAGCTACCCAGATACACGAACTTCTCGACTACGTCTATCTGCTCACCATCCAGGGTGAGTACAGGATTAGAATCCTGCCAGTCTTGTAGAAGTACTTTGCACTTCGAAGGTGCAAAGCACATACCATACCTACGGACACTGATTGCCAACTGATTAAGTGCGGATTGCATGCCTTGGGCATTATCGCACAGTAAGATCTTGT